ATAAAAAAAGATGTAAATGTTGAAATTGTAATAAAAAGGACATATAAGTACTGAATCTTTAAAAAAGAAAGTTAGGATATTAATTACAGATTTTGAACAAATTAGAGATGAATGTGAAGAAGTTAATATTTAATAGATAAAAATTAATGAAGAGATTTTTGAAGAAAAATCAGATTTAGAAGATATATCTAGTAAGGACGAATAAAAAATAGGCCATGTTTGGTACACATTATTTTTTTCATTCTCATTTTTCTACTCATTTTCAACTACACATTTTTCAATAAAATAATATTTTCCATCATATCGATAACTTTTCCTTCATTTTTAACCACACATTCTCCATCAATCTACTATTCAATAATACATTCTTTCAAAAGAATGTGTCCCATACACACTATAAATGTCAAATTAATAGATGAGTTATCGAAAATGACCCATTAGTTACACAATCAGGATTACACTCCCCTTACATGGAGGGGGGGACCACACAAAATAAAATATTCGTGGGTCTCCCTCCATGTGAGGGGTGTGTAATCCATTATGTAATGGATTGAGTGTACATCTAGCACAACCATTTGGTATATGTTAAGCATATTCCGTCCTATCAGGATTGGATTAAGAGCACAAATAACAATTATAAATTGGAAACATTTTTCACAGAGTTTTCAATTTTCCAGACAAAGTTAAAATAAAATACATAAGAGCTGTCGTTATTTCTATTTTTAACCTACAAATCAATCATACTTTAAAGATATAATCATTGATATAATGCCATATGACAATTTATCATTGAACTTAATGAAATTCAGTCAATTTTTTCATCTAATCACATTTTTTCAACACCTATTATGTCTCCTACTTTTTGGCAAAATAGCATTATCTAATTTTTGTAGTATATTTATTTAAATATTTTAATTTATATATCTTCGCTAATGTCATTGTATACTTCTACATGGTTAGAAAGTTTTAAATACAAGGACGGTACACATCTCCGATTAAAAATTAAATGCAAGGAGTATGAGAAGTTCAACATCAAGCTTGGCTCAAGTCGTAGTTAGGGGGACAAAAAAAAAATTATACTGATTCATAGAAAAAAATTCGCTTAGAAAAATTAAATTGGCTTTGGGTGGCTTAGAACAAAAAAGAAATAGCTAACTACGAAAAATTGTTAAAAAAGGCATACCTCCTACCAAAAAGCAAACACCGACACCGACATCGACACCGACAAGATTTGGTGTACTCACTTCTTTCAACTTGTAAGCAGGCTAGGTAGGATTGGTGGCGTTGGCAAGGATGTGAGATGTGTTGGTGGAAGGAGTGGTTATCATATCGGATTTCGAGAGAGAAGAACGAAACGCGAGTGATGGAATAAAGATTGAATGAGATATAATTAGATTCTTAGTTCAATTAATTAGGGTAAATATAGTTTGACTATGATTACACTGGGATAATTATGATTCCACCCCACCCAATAAATTGAGGTCTTGGGCGTACTTAAACCAAAAGAAAAATTCAGGTTCCAAATATTGGGCTTCGTGGCCATGCCCAAAATTATATGAATCATCAAAAATATTAAGGGAAGAATTCAAAAATCGGGATTTAAGTTTCACCAATTCAAAATTCAGCTTTGGAGTTTATAAAATACAAAAATCAGGTATTTAGATAACTAATTAAAAATATTTATTATTTAAA